GGAATATATACAAAGTATTTATAGGTCCCAGCAATGTTTTGGATACACGGGAGTATAGAAAAAGAAGAAGGAAGAAGAAGGAAGTTCTCTTGAAGCAATGCGTAAGACAAGTGTCAGTGACAAGCATCCGGGAGGGCAGTGATAAGATGAGATAAGCGATGCGATGACATTTGATGGGCGCCAGCAAGGGTGCAGAGATATGGAGTGACATTAGATGAGCTGGTATCTCCGTCTCTGATTATCTGTCTCTCTGTCTGCTTGTCTCTTTCCGTCTCTCTGCTTGTCTCTCTCTCTGTCTCAGAGGGAGCCACTGTGAACCAACAGGCATTCTTATACATTATATCTACAAGCAAAGTATAGCACTTTGGATTTTTTAGGTTATCCTAGGTAATTTACACTATGTATAATTGTATTTGTGTGTACCTGTGAGACAGATAAAAAGAGACAGAGACAGATAGACAGAGACAGACAGATAGGACCTAGTAGCAGTCGGTGAAGAGGTGGGGCCAGGAGCTGAGTCTCGACCCCTGCACCCACAATTAGGTGAGTACAATTTGGTGAGAGATAGACAGACAGAGATAGAGACAGATAGACCCTAAACTTGGGGTTAACATCATTTTCCTCTTAAAAGGGGAGTGTTAATATGACATTACATCAGTGAATCTTTGGTGTTTGCTGCACTGTTTGCTCTAGCTGGCGCTCAATTTAACTGCTGCTCCCACAAAATACTAAGTGGTCCCAGATTTTTTAATATTGTGCACACCGAGTGTTAAGACCCATTCTATGTTGACCAGGCATCTCAGGCCGATCATGCCAAATTTGGAGGCAGGAAAATTAAAATGTATATATAGATTTGGGGCGCTAGCAGTAAGAGCGTATATATACATTTGAACTGTTTAGGGGTTAAGAGATGTCTAATGGCTGAGAAGTGAACTCCGTTATTTATCGTTTGATTTCTTTTATTTTTGGTGTACATTAAGAAACAGCTTTCCATTATATATTGCCCAAGTTTCAATAAGATAGCCCAACAAACAACCGAGAAAAAAAAATTACCAAAATTCACATACGGCAAGCCCTAGCCAGGTACTGGCACTGCAAGAAGCTGTTTGTACACTACCTGTTGATAAAACATTGCTAATCCAAATTTATCACAGTTGTAATTACTGTAATTTATGAATAACTTACTTCTGAGATAAACAACGAAAACGAGCGCACACCGAAAAAAAAAATCGAGAAAATAAGTCACTCTGTCTGACTTTTTTGGGTTATCCTAGGTTCTCTACACATATGCTGCTATGTATGATAATCTATGTAACTGTATTTGTGTATACCTGAATAAACTTACCTAGTTTTATGGTGCATTATGAGTGTATAGCACAGTTAGCACTGTACTACACTATGTTTTCTCTAATATAAGTACCCAGGAAGGCATAGGAGGATGGCACTTTATCCCTTATCCTCAAGTTCACAGCGAATGAACGCACATCTGACTGAGACCGACTACAAGGTGAGGGTCTCTGATAGGTGTACAAAAACAACAGGAAGTGGGGAAAACTGGAGCGTGCAAAAAATGGCATGGAACATGAAAATTGGCACAGCTGTGTCTGTTTCACACCCGATTGTGTGTTCATGGCCAGATGCAAAAATCTGGCAAATTTTTTGGTTGTGAACTGATTTGTCCATGTTTGGAAGTGTTCATGACCAGAGGTTCCACTGTGCTTTATTTTCTGTAATAAATATGGTTAATCACTTTCAAAGTATCCTATTCTATTCATGATTATCTTCTACATATGAGTAGCAATGTTGGTACTTTTCCAGTAAAATGAGAAAACCTGAAAACAAAGTCATGAACTATTTAAAACTAATAATTATATACATGTATGTGTCACCTTGCTTTGGTGGGAGATGGGCAGCATGTCAAAAAAATAAATATGTACAATTATGTATCTAAAAACTGTAATGAAAAACTATAATGGATTTTTTCCCTTATTTGTAAGGAAACATAGGAGACAAATCTACAAGAGCCCTAGTTTAAGGTTCAAATGAAGCATATGATTTACAAAGTTGGCTCATTTGCAGAGAGAGAGAGAGAGAGACAGAGAGACAGAGAGAGAGAGAGAGAGAGAGAGAGAGAGAGAGACAGACAGAGAGAGACAGAGACAGAGAGAGACAGAGAGAGAAAGAGACAGAGAGAGAGAGAGAGAGAGAGAGAGAGAGAGAGAGAGAGAGAGACAGAGAGAGAGAGACAGAGAGAGAGACAGAGAGACAGAGAGACAGAGAGAGAGAGACAGAGAGAGAGAGAGAGAGACAGAGAGAGAGAGACAGAGAGAGAGAGACAGAGAGAGAGAGACAGAGAGAGAGAGACAGAGACAGAGAGAGAGACAGAGAGAGAGAGAGAGACAGAGAGAGAGACAGAGACAGAGAGAGAGACAGAGACAGAGAGAGAGACAGAGAGAGACAGAGACAGAGACAGAGAGAGAGACAGAGAGAGAGAGAGGGGAGAGGAGAGAGGAGAGGAGAGAGAGAGAGAGAGAGAGAGAGAGAGAGAGAGAGAGAAGAGAGAGAGAGAGAGAGAGACAGACAGACAGACATCTGGCCTAGAATTGGTGGGCTATTTATTGCAGTATCAGTTTTCCAAACAATACTGTTTTTAACTAATGAAGTCAAGAAGTGAGGCCTCTACCATTAAGGATATAGTAGAGGATAATACAGTGGACCCCCGGTTAACGAACTTTTTTCATTCCCGTAGTATGTTCAGATGCCAGTACTGACCGAATTTTTTCCCATAAGGAATATTGTGAAGTAGATTAGTCCATTTCAGACCCCCAAACATACACGTACAAACGCACTTACATAAATACACTTACATAATTGGTCGCATTTGGAGGTGATCGTTAAGCGGGGGTCCACTGTATATCCTTAATGTATTTTACTTAATGGTCACTTATACTCTCCTTTTGGGCAATGTGTGAATTGATATTCAGATACCACGTAAGTTACTGGGAATATTCTAGCAAATTAGTGATTAAGACAAGAGGGTCAGGAGCCAGAAATTGCTTAAGTGAAAATATAATTTTATGAGTACAACTGGTTGCATGCCCCCACATACTACAAAGCAGTGCGTGAAGAGGAATGAAGCCTGAAAATGAGTGCACGTTTAGTTCTGGATGATTTAACTGGTTTAGAATGCAGAGTGGACTGCATAATATAAAGTTCAATGGGAGAGCACTTCAGCTGACCATGCTGCCACAGAAAAGTTCCCATGCAAACTGGTTAGCACATGTATGAGGATAGCTACAACCCTGAGCAGGTATTTAATGCTGATGAGATAGCTTTGTTCTGGAAGATGCCATCTAGAGCATACATCAGTAAGAAAAAACTGTTCCTGGATACAAGGCCATCAAAGACTGTTTCAGCTTGATTCATTGTGGTACTGCATCAAATGACTTTATATGCAAGTGTACACACACTTGTTTATCACTCCAAGAATCCACATGCTTTAAAAGGTAAGAGACAAAAACTACAGTGCCTGCTATTTGAAAGGCCACTGCCATAGCATGGGTGACTGAGGCCTTCTTTACGAGTGTTTCTGATACCTGAATTGAGGATGTACCTGTCCCTAAATAAATTTGCATTCAGGGTTCTCCTTGGCATTGATAACTGTCTTAGGTCCTTTTTACCACCAAATGTGACATCCTTGATATAACCACCTGGATCAAAGAGTTAACAAAACATTTAAGTGCCACTACATGCTTAATGTGGTGCAGAAACTGGCAACAACTGATGATGCAACACATTAGAGTGCCAGATTTTTGGCACAAATTTAACATTATAGATAGATGCAATTCCCAATGTCAAAAAAAAAAAAAAAAAAAAGCATAGGATCATGTACCAAAATCAACAATAAATGCTGTTTGGAGAAAAATATGGCCTAGTATGGTGAGAGATTTTACAGGATTACCATCAAAAGAAAATAGCTTCAGGAAATTGATGATTTGGCAAGGAGTGTCAGGTGAAGGAGTTGAGTTATGCAGTCAGATGACATCAAAGAGCCAATGAGGAAACAACCGCAAAGGAAATGTTGCAGGAAATAAATTCCCAGCTGCAGAGACCAGAATACAATGAGGATGAAGAACCTGAGCCAGAACAACTGATGATGACACTGCAAGAGATACACAAATTACTACAAACTGTTGGTAAAACTGAAGACTTATCTGTTGAAAAGGACCATGACTCACCCAGAAGCATTGCTGTAAAGCATGCTCTGGAGCAGACACTTGAGCATTATCATCTGCTGTAGAAAGAATTCCAGGATAAAACAAACCAGCAGTATATTACTGAATACCTGAGCACTCCACTGTAGTAATCAATTGATAAAGCTGCATCAATATACCAAGATTTCCAATGTTCAGCATATCACCCACAATCTTTGCCACAGCCACCCTCTCCACTTCAGGATGTTAAGTATCACCAACTCAACTTGAAGGTAAGTAACAAATGTGGAACAATATTAATGCAGCCATTTTTTAGCTAAATGTTCTCTTCCTTTTCACTATCTGAACCTCACTAGAGTTGAGGTATTTCACAGAGCATCCTCATCAACAATTAGGTAAAAAAAAAAAAAAAGTATTTAGTTTTTTGGAGGGTTTAGGAATGCAACCCTAATTTTTCTGTGTTTTTTACTCCATAAGTCACATAAATCATTGGTAGTGGAGTTTTCAGGAACATAACCAGCATGAATTCAGAATGTCCATTGGAGGAAACATTGCAATAAAGGTCTCTCTGCAAACTACGTCCACCTCTAGTGCAAATTATAGGAGCCCATAACCTAAGAGTAGATAAAAAGGCCTTGAGGAAAAATATTTGGATGTTTCCTGAAGCTATTTGAATATTTCACTTCTCCTACCAACCCATCTTTTTTAACTGCAAAATAAGCATATTTATTTTGTAACATGTCTTTCTCACTGCCTGTAAACTTACCCTATCATTTATCTACTTACCCTGTATCAGATGTGAGGAAGTAGGTGTGAATTTCACCCCAGGTGTGGCAAAGATCAAGAATACTTCCACAAATATTATTATTCTGAAAGTAAACATATCAAAATAAAATTTAACTAATTTGCTAAATGTGAAATAATAATAAACTCTCTTTCTAGATTTACTTTCCTCATTTTAGGGTGATGAGGGAAGGTATCCTTCAATGCCTACCCAAACTAGATGCATTTCGGTCACTGTGCAAACTGATGAAGATATGTCCATATTCCATAACCCCAGACCCCAGTGCCTCAATGCATGTGACTGGAATTATGCAATGTGTGGCATAAGTTGATAATGTAGCTAAATAACAGTACAGTAGGGCCCCACTTATAACTGCAGTTTAGGTTCAAGGCTACTACCATAAAGCGGAAATCGCTGTAAAATGGAATGCCCTTTTTTTTCCACTTATAAATGCATATAAATGCTAGACAACACGTTTACACTAACACATACATTAAGTTAGCAACAGACCTAGGCATTAAAAAAAAATAAAAAAGTAAAATACACATATAGTACACTCATTACTTACCTTAAAATATTTGTAGCCTTAATGTAGGGTGAGATGAGTAGTATTTATAGTAAGAAATTAGGAGTCATAGGCATGGTAGCCAGCCAGACACCCCATTCCATCCACTTAACAATTAAAGTGTCCCAGAGCGATAAAATGCATAGACAGTGGAACCTCAGCTTACGAATGCCCCACCATGTGAATTTTTCAGGATACGAACCGTCGTTCGGTCGATATTTTGCCTCTGGATACAAATGAAATTTCAGGATGCAAACTTCCCCCTCAAGGGAGGTTCCTCAAATAAATAAATAAATAAAATATTTATTTATTTCCAAAGGTTACAATGTGTGTTTACATATCATATGATTGGAGCAAAGAAAGCCATTATCACGCCGAGGCATTTCAGGCAAACTTAACCTAATACAGTGGACCCTCGGGTGATGATTTTAATCTATTCCAGAGAGCTTGTCCTTAACCAATTTTATCGTTAGCCGAATTAATTTTCCCCATAAGAAATAATGGAAATCCAATTAATCCGTTCCTGCTGTCAGGAGGCTTGACAGAATAGTACTTCAATGTGACGCTGTTATCAACTCTACAGCTTATTTATCTACCACAATTCATCTAATATGACCTAATAAACAATATTAATAACATAGAAACATGATATATACTCTAGAATGAATAAAATATGTCATAATGTATGTGGGGATAAGTGATGAAAGTGTTGTTGTTGGGTTTATAATGGCCACTTTTGGAGGAGGTTTCTGCCACCACCACTATCCACAAACAATATATGAACATAATTTATAAATAAGAAATATTTACATTTTTAATTTATAAATAAGAAATATTTACATTTTAATTTATAAATAAGAAATATTTACATTCTAATTTATAAATAAGTAAGTGAGTTTATTCAGGTATACACACATATACAGTTATGTACATAGATTATCATACATAACAGCATATGTGTAAAGTACCTAGGATAACCTAAAAAACTCAGAGTGACTTACGTATTTCCATTGGGGTCCTTTTACAGTGGACCCCCAACTTACGATATTAATCCATTCCAGAGAGCACATCGTAAGACAAAATTATTGTAAGTCAAATTAATTTTCCCCAAAAGAAATAATGGAAATCAAATTAATCCGTTGACGACACCGAAAAGTATGAAAAAAAAAATTTTTACCACATGAAATATACATTTTCCTACACACAAAAAGAAGGATACATACATAATATAAATTGTGCATGTATTAGTGTACTAAATGAAGAATAAATGACATTATTGAAGATGTGCTGATGAGTGATGAGACACTGTTTGTGTCCTGGGAGTGCCTTTTCCTCCTGAGTGATGTAGGTCCTGTTTGGCATTTTCTTCCAGAACAGACCTTATCACACTGTGTATGCCCCTACAATTCTTAAATCTCTCACACCAACCTTTGCTGGCCTTAAATTCACCAATATGAGCACTAATTCCAGGCATTTTTTCCTGTTCACCTGGGTGTTAGTTGACTGGTGTGGGTCGCATCCTGGGGGACAAGATTAAGGACCCCAATGGAAATAAGTAAGGCAGTCCTCGATGACACACTGACTTTTTGGGTTATCCTGGGTGGCTAACCCTCTGGAGTTAATTGTTTCTCGGTATTCTTGATAAGCCCATGGTGGTTTATTTAAGAACATAAGAAATAAGGAACACTACAGCAGGCCTACTGACCCATGTGAGGCTGGTCCATGTCCCCCCCCCCCAGATTAGCCCAATGGCCCACCCAGTCTAGTCACCGCCACTCAAGGAAGGAGCACGGCACCAGACCCAGCAGCACAAGCTAGTCAGGTCCAACTCACACCCACCCATACCCACTCATGTATTTATCTAACCTATTTTTAAAACTACACAACGTTTTAGCCTGAATAACTGTACTCGGGAGTTTGTTCCACTCATCCACAACTCTATTACCAAACCAGTGCTTTCCTATATCATTCCTGAATCTGAATTTTTCCAACTTGAAAGCATTGTTGCGAGTCCTGTCGTGGCTGGAAATTTTCAGCACGCTATTTGAAGAGGTAGATCATGGTAATGAATATGATATTGTGTATACGGACTTCAGTAAAGCTTTCGATAGAGTTCCACACCAGAGGCTATTGAGGAAACTTAAGGTCACACGGAATAGGAGGAGAAATTTTTTCCTGGGTAGAGGCATGGCTGACAAATAGACAGCAGAGAGTTTGCATAAATGGGGAGAAATCAGAATGGGGGCACGTCACAAGCGGTGTTCCTCAGGGGTCAGTGTTGGGCCCGTTGCTGTTCACAATTTACATAAACAGAATTCTTGGCTTCATATCTAGAAGTATAAATAATAGAAGTTCTCAGGTTGTTCTTCAACTCTATATATCCTTGGTTAGGCCACATTTAGACTATGCTGCTCAGTTCTGGTCACCGTATTACAAAATGGATATAAATGCTCTGGAAAACGTACAGAGGAGGATGACAAAGATGATCCCATGTATCAGAAATCTTCCCTATGAGGATAGACTGAGGGCCCTGAATCTGCACTCTCTCGAAAGGTGCAGAATTAGGGGGGATATGATCGAGATGTATAAATCGAAAACAGGAATAAATAAAGGGGATGTAAATAGCGTGCTGAAAATATCCAGCCAAGACAGGACTCGCAGCAATGGTTTCAAGTTGGAAAAATTCAGATTCAGAAAGGATACAGGAAAGCACTGGTTTGGTAATAGAGTTGTGGATGAGTGGAACAATGCTTCTATTCTCTTTGTATCCCATCTACCTTTTACTCTCAGTGTAGCTACAACTAAAAAGTGATCTGATATATCTGTGGCCCCTCTATAAACATGTACATCCTGATGAGAGTAAGACACATGTGCAACATCTGGGAATCTTTATTGTAGACGTTTCGCCATCCAGTGGCTTTATCAATACAAATTCTAGGACATAACTTGAAGACAGTAGAACTATGTACAGAAGATGAGGTAATCAGTCCCTCAACCTAGGAGTAGGTGCGAACAGCACCATAGTCTTCAGAACCTCCACGACTATGGTGCTGTTCGCACCTACTCCTAGGTTGAGGGACTGATTACCTCATCTTCTGTACATAGTTCTACTGTCTTCAAGTTATGTCCTAGAATTTGTATTGATAAAGCCACTGGATGGCGAAACGTCTACAATAAAGATTCCCAGATGTTGCACATGTGTCTTACTCTCATCTTGTCGGTATTATATACCATTCGTACACAACATGTACATCCTGAAGTCTACTCGACATTCTTTTATCTACCAATGCATAATCCAACAAACTACTGTCATTTTGCCCTACATCATATCTTGTATACTTATCCTCTTTTTCCTAAAATATGTATTACCTATAACTAAACCCCTTTCTATACAAAGTTCAATCAAAGGGGTCCCATTATCATTTACACCTGGCACCCCAAACTTACCTACCACACCCTCTCTAAAAGTTTCTCCTACTTTAGCATTCAGGTCCACTACCACAATTACTCTCTCACTTGGTTCAAAGGTTCCTATACATTCACTTAACATCTCCCAAAATCTCTCTCTCTCCTCTACATTCCTCTCTTCTCCAGGTGCATACACGCTTATTATGACCCACTTTTCGCATCCACCCTTTACTTTAATCCACATAATTCTTGAATTTACACATTCATATTCTCTTTTCTCCTTCCATAACTGATCCTTCAACATTACTGCTACCCCTTCCTTTGCTCTAACTCTCTCAGATTCTCCAGATTTAATCCCATTTATTTCCCCCCACCGAAACTCCCCTACCCCCTTCAGCTTTGTTTCGCTTATGGCCAGGACATCCAGCTTCTTCTCATTCATAACATCAGCAATCATCTGTTTCTTGTCATCCACACTACATCCACGCACATTCAAGCATCCCAGTTTTATAAAGTTTTTTCCTAAAATATGTATTACCTATAACTAAACCCCTTTCTATACAAAGTTCAATCTAAGGGGTCCCATTATCATTTACACCTGGCACCCCAAACTTACCTACCACACCCTCTCTAAAAGTTTCTCCTACTTTAGCATTCAGGTCCACTACCACAATTACTCTCTCACTTGGTTCAAAGGTTCCTATACATTCACTTAACATCTCCCAAAATCTCTCTCTCCCCTCTACATTCCTCTCTTCTCCAGGTGCATACACGCTTATTATGACCCACTTTTCGCATCCACCCTTTACTTTAATCCACATAATTCTTGAATTTACACATTCATATTCTCTTTTCTCCTTCCATAACTGATCCTTCAAATTACTGCTACCCCTTCCTTTGCTCTAACTCTCTCAGATTCTCCAGATTTAATCCCATTTATTTCCCCCCACCGAAACTCCCCTACCCCCTTCAGCTTTGTTTCGCTTATGGCCAGGACATCCAGCTTCTTCTCATTCATAACATCAGCAATCATCTGTTTCTTGTCATCCGCACTACATCCACGCACATTCAAGCATCCAGTTTTATAAAGTTTTTTCTTCTTCTCTTTTTTA